TTATGATAGAATATAAGTATGATTGGGATATATTATAATTTAAATTAAATATTTAAAATAGTACAATGTAATTTTGACTATAGAAAGCTTTTCCCGAACTCGTGTTTTTAAAGGGAGTATGATTTTTATTTTTCTTAAGTTTCTTTTTTATAATTTTAAGAATGACTTTTGTATTTTTGATTTGTTTGGTGGATTTTTGTAAATATCCTATCCACATTATGTACATTTGTAGGTCTACGTTGTTCCCGGGTTCGACCTTTAGGGTAGATATTATTTGTCTCATTAATTTATTTGGTTTTTGCATATACACCATTCATTTTGTAGACATTTATAAATTTGGTATTTAATAATTTTATTTAGATTTACATTTTAATTTAAACTGTATCCTTATCTTCATACTATATATATCCAATAAGAATTCATCAATTTATCAACTTACTCTTACTTAATAGAATAATATTTAAATTTTAAGGGTATTTTTATCTATTGAAAGATTTTTCCGAACTCATTCTTTTAAAGGGAGTATGATTTTTGTTTTTCTTAATTTTTCTTTTTTATAATTTTGAGAATGACTTTTGTCTCTTTAATTTGTTTGGTGGATTTTCCTCTGTGCACGAGATCAAGTCTTGAATGGTCTCCCTGACATCCTTGAGAGCTCGATCCTTCTCCTCGATAGAGTCAGTGGTCAATCGCCGGCGAGATTTAACGCCCTCCAACTCTTTTGCCACGCGAGCACGAGCCTTCTCTTGAACGGCCAGGGAAGCCTGTGCTTCGGCTACGACCTGTTTCAGCCTCTCTACTTCGAAGGAGAGTCGGGAGAACTGGCTATCGACCGTTTCCTCCTCGCGGGCCACCCGTGCATCCTCGGCTTTGACCTGCTCAGACTCTGCTGACGGGCACCACCGGAGCCGGTGCGACCAATGACGCCCTCGGTGCAGTGGTCACAACGTCAACGGCCGCCGCCGACGAAGAAATGGTCACCTGCAGAGTAGGAGCCTCCCGTTGAAGCGGAGACTCTCGCGCCGATGAACGACCCCCAGCCGACGCTTCCGCAGGAGCAGGAGATCCCCCTATTTGGCCAGGCGCGTCCTCAAGAGCCAAATCCTCTTCCTCGCTGGACAATGCCTCGTGAACCGAGACATTGTCATCCTCCTCAGATTCGCCCGCCTCCTCAGATGAGCGATTCGCCCAAGAGTGAGGACCCTCCTCACCTGCGACTTCACGGGTAGGATCAGCTACAAATACACTAAAAGAGGTTAACAGAGACCCCTCAAAAGGGACCCTACTAACGGTCGGGTATGGGAGGAGGAGTAATGCTAAAACACACGCTTACCTGAGCCGGTGGGCCCCTCCTCGTCTCCAGCCTCCCCTTCTTCGTCGGAAGGAATGGAGATCACCTTCTCAATCGCGCCTGCATAGGTCCAATACCAATGTCAAAAGGTATGGGATCATCGTTGCGATCAAAGACGCTATGCAAAAATTACCTCCTGATGCAGACGCAGAAGCCGCTGGGGCTCCCGTCTGTGGCCTCACACCAGTCTGCGAAGGAGCGTCCTCCGAAGTCGCCAGAGCCGCCCCCAATGCAGCAGAAGGGGCAGGCAGTGCAGCTCCAGATCCAGACGTCGCTGCTCCAGGAATGCTTACCTGGGGAGCATTATCCCGACCTTCCGCCGCTCGGATGGTCTCCGCTGTCTCATCACCACGGGCCTTCTTAGCCGCCCCCGCTTGGGAACTCTCGGCCGCTGCCTCCCGTTGACACTTCGAGAGAAGCGAGCTACTCGGAGACAGAAGCGGCGCCCCCATTTGTCTAATGGTCGGACTCTGGACCGGTCTTGGGCGCGAGCTACTCGGAGACAGAAGCGGCGCCCCCATTTGTCTAATGGTCGGACTCTGGACCGGTCTTGGGCGCCCGAATTCCCTTGGTTCACCAGGGGCATCCAGCGAATGACAGGGAGAAGGAACTCGAACCTCGGGAACCTCGGATTCGTCTAAGCCAGCGTCAAAACCCTCAGTATCCTCAATTGGATCCTCCGAGAACAACTCCCTAGCAGTTTGGTGGCCCCTTCGCCTTGAAGAGCGGAGAGAACCCCTGACAGGACGATCGCGTTCCACCAGACATGAGTTCTGGTTTTCTTTTTTATAATTTTGAGAATGACTTTTGTCTCTTTAATTTGTTTGGTGGATTTTGTAAATATCCTATCCACATTATGTATATTTGTACGACTATGTTGTTCCCGGGTTCGACCTTTAGGGTAGACATTATTTGTATCATTAATTTATTTAGTTTTTTCATATATGCCCTTCATTATGTAGACATTTGTAAATTTGGTATTTAATAATTTTATTTAGATTTACATTTTAATTTAAACTGTATCCTTATCTTCATACTATGTATATCCAATAATAATTCATAATTTATCAACTTACTCTTACTTGATGAAATAATATTTGAATTTTAAGGATATTTTTGTCTACCGAAAATTTTTTCCGAACTCATTTTTTTAAAGATGTATGGCTCGAGATAGCATGTAGGGCCCGTTCTCAGAATGTGATACCCCGGTCGGATATTCACCAACCAGCGAAAGGCACCGCGAGTAAGGACCGTGTAGTGATCCGCCGTCGGAGCATCCCTGAGAGATTCTCCATATCCACCCCCGCTGAAATAAGGGAATGTTTTCAGCGAAAGTTGTTTCCATTGCAGATTCCATTAAAACTTCGATCGTTTACAACGAATTACAATGAAAATAAAAGAAAATACAACTCTCGAGAAAATAACACAGAAATTGTTTATCAACTCCTGCTTTTGTGGGACTTTGCCTGTGCCGGGAACGCTTTAGTTCGTGGACCACCGATTCGTAGATCGAGAGGTTGTTTAAGGATCTCTCCTTCGTTTATCGAAGTAAAGATTTGAAAACGAATATCTTATCGATGTAAGATGTCCGTTCTTCCAAAGATCAAGTCTGAGCTTAGATCTCTAGGATTCACCAAATGATGCTTGTCAGAGGGTGAAAATTCTCTCTTTCTTTCTCAAAATCACCAAAGACTCAAGTATCTTCTGCTCCAAAAATGCTCTCTGTCCTTTAATTCGTGCCTAGGGAGGTATTTATAGGGCTCTCAGTGCACCACAGTTGAAACGGAGGCGAAATAACTGACTGGCCGTTTTCTCTTTGGCCGCTGCAGTCTACACTGCCGCGGCTATTGGCGCGGCAGTATAGGCTGCCGCGGCCAAAGAGACGGTTATGAGCACGTTCCATCGCGCTCAAAACTACTCTCCCACGAACTTTAACCACCTTTTTCGTGGTTTAACCGCTTTTCCACGTCAGCACACGTTCTATCTTTGATATGCTGCCACGTGGACTTCAAAAAATCATCAAATAACTGTCTTATAACTGCCACGTCATCCTCTTATAACCAACGCGACACTATAGGCCGCCGCGTCTAAGCCGCGGCACCTTGGTCTGCCGCGTCATAGCCGCGGCGCCTTGGTCTGCCGCGCCATAGCCGCGGCGCCTTGGTCTGCCGCGCTATAGCCGCGGGCCAGTGAGGCTAACTAGGGGTCTGACGGTGTTGATAGACGGCAGAGGTGGTGCCGCCCCTACCCCTAGGGTTTCTAAAACCTAGGGGCAATTTTGTAAATATAAGATTTTTATTTTATATTTTTTTAATTTAAACAAATTCTAGAAATTAGTTTTTAATTCTAAAAATTATTTAAAAATAGTAAAAATATATGAAATATTTTGGGAAAATTTCTAAAAAATATTTTTATTGCTTTTTTGTAGAAATTTTAGAAATTTTTTATATGGGGGCCACTAGATTTCGTAATAGAGTTATTTTTTTAGATTTTAGAAAAATAATTTTTAAACTTTGGTAGTTCAAAAAAATTATTTTTATACACCAAAAAATTTAATTATAAAATTTTAATAAAATATTAGATTTTAATGGGTAGCTATTCGAGTAGGATCACCGAGGGCATGTACCAATTTCATAAAAAATGAAAAACCCTTATAAAATTGATAAGATAAAATAAGGGAGTTAAATAGATAAAAGGGAAATTGTTTTTATGTTCGTCATGCTGCATATTTGGACACATTAGAATATATAAACAAATAATTACTAGTGGAAGATTTCAGGTAGAGATGACACTACGATTTAACAACCTAATCTAGTTTATCTTTAGGAAATCTAATATTCTAGTTTCAAAAATTTTATGATGATTTTAAAAATTATATCTTTGATCACCTATGGTTGGGACCCTAGGCTTTCTTTTCTTTGTTTGGGATGTAATCTTATTATCAGTGTAAAAGGCTTGATGAGATGGAATGTTCTTCATGGAAGAATAATACTCCACGTAAATGCTAATAATCTTAATCGATCTATAATTAAAATGCACTAATTCTTCTCTTAAGTACCAAAACAATTATTCTGATGTCAGTCTAAGACTGAGTAGATTGAGATACTTTTGTTAAAAGATCCATTTTCTTTTGAGAATAGAAGATTTTAATGAGTACTGAGGCGGCTATATCCGAGTCAGAACAAGTTAAAGATGGAATTAGAGATTTGAGGCCGGTCAGAACAAGATTTGAAAGTAATAAGATTGTTCAATGTAGTTCATCAAGTGGACTGCAAAGAGAGACTATCTTATCGAGGACTATAAGGATAATCTAAACGCAAAGAGCTTCTGGGGTGCTTTTAATGTAAGATTCAGGTATATCCCTTCAACGAGGATCCAAGTTCTTATCATTAAGTTGGATTCAATTGAGATGATTGCTAGGGAGAATATCAAATTTAATTTCAGATGTTAACATCTATAATTAGGGATCATGAGATAGTTGGAACTATGTCGAGCATGAAGCGGTAGATCCGAGCAGTTATTTAGGCTTTGCATAACTCTAAGAAAGATATTTGTTACGTTTATTGCACATTGTAGATGTGATACATCTAGATATGTGAAATTAAAAGTGAAGTTGGAGTCTAAACACTAGGGCATATTTAAGGCTAAAATGTCTACTTCAACTATGGAAGCTGGATACTCGAGGCACAAGGCTGAGAGCCTAGTTGCAATAGGTACATCAAGAGAGTTTTTAGAATATATTCTAAAATAAATAAAGCAATTAAAAGGTGAAAAATCCAGCTAATAAGAGAAAGATTAATTGATTTCACTTCAAACAAGCCAATATTGTCATGCAAAAGGGCGCACAACCGATAAAACTTGGGATTCACAGAAGGCATCTGTGGGGCAGGAGGAAGTATTGAATCTGGAATTAGAGCAGAAAGATCTAGCTAGGGATTATGTAATGGTGCTAAGTACTGATGCACAGGGGTCTCCTTTGAGGTTAGGGAACAAATATATCTCTCAAGATATTCTATATGCTCTCATTAAGAGTAAGGAATCGTCTCTAGGTAGTTAGACTTGTGGGATTCTAGATGATTTTCCTTTTGTGGGTAACTTACTTAGATTTACTTTGAGATTTCTCTACTTATAAAGCCAAGCTAATAGCTTCGTTGATTTTAGAATGTAACTCATTACAAGGTAATTGTGTTATCTTCTATTTTATATTGTGTCATGGATTAAGATTGGATCTAATTTATGGTATATTAGATGAAGTTGCATTAGAGGACACATGAAGGCTCACTAGGGCGACCTCCTTAGTATATGTACTAGGGTATTTATCCTTCCATGAGTATGGTCTCATGGGAAAAACCACTGGAGAGTCATTTTGGCAAGCTATGAGTACCTCAATTGTAATTTGTTCACTCTGTTATATGTAAAACAATATTTATGAAGGTACAAAACAGAAGGCCCAAATTCCTCTTGTTTAAAGAGAAGCTCTATATACGATCATGTGTATTTGATTTCGCTCCTAATTGAGTGCATGAAATAGTTTCAAGTGCTAAATCAGCAAGGTGGGTAATTAGTTAAACAAAAGCATTAGGGCTTTGCATATTAATCGTGAGAGATTATCTATCTTGAAAGTTTAAGTAACTATATCAAAATAAAAGAAAAATCATATAGTTGATGATATCCTATATTCTGCTATAAAATGGTATTTTTCAGAAATTAGGAATATAACTCTACTAGATATAATTCAGAATTGCTACCCATTAGGTCTTGGGGAGATGTTCTATTGATAGTGATATATATTCTGAACCGTATACCTTTGAGATCGGTACAGTCAATACTCTATGAGTCATGTGAAGTCGAGGGCGTACGTTGGATCACTACATCCATGTGGGAGTATTGCTTTCATATACAACTTTTTTTATTGGATGAGAAGTTTGGACCCAAGAATGTGAAAACTTTTTTTTCATACACTATTTTNCTTGTAGGTAATATGATGACTCTGTGACTAAAATAGTTATGGTATATTGAGTTCCACAAGGAGGATTCTTGCACAAAAAAGGTTAAGATTTAGGCTCATATGAGATTGAGGAGACTATCATGGATTTAGCAATGAAGGATTAATTAGTTCCTCTACCAGCTAGGGATAGTGAGAGCAAGATATTTTTAGATGACTTGAAGCCATCTATGGAATCTCACTCCCTTAGAGATCATTCCATGGACTTGTATAAAGACGATATTTTTTTAGAACAATGGGGAAATGTTCATGGCTGCAACACATGTTATTGCGAAGCTTAAATCATGTGAGGACAATTTCTAGGTCTATAGTAAAAAAGTGGAAAACAACAATCAATGGGGAGTTCGAGTTCATGAGGAAGAATTAAGTCTAGGACTTGAGAAATCTTCTAACTGAATGCAAGACCTTTGAAAAAATAGGTTTTTAAGGTCAACCAGTACAGGATATACAAGTGATGTAGGGCACACTTAATAGTGAATGAGTACACCCAAGTAGTAGGGTGGGCTACTGAAAGAAACATTTTATCTAATGGAGAGAATTGTCTCTATTCGCGTGATATTGACTCTTATGCTGTAAGTGGATCTTAAACTAGTGCATATGGACATCGAAATAGCTTTATCTATGTAGAACGGGAAAATGTAATCTATGTGGATCACCCTATGTCTCATACACAAGGGACTTGAACACAATGTGTAAAAGTTAAAGGATCCTACCTATAACTTGTAACATTTTTGTAGTGTGTAGTATGTTTGATCCTATCAGATTGTGTTAGGTCATGGTTGTTGGCCTTCTTGTTTTGATGATGATTTACAAACAATTTACATGTAATATTGTTTGTCTAGTGTTTGTGTTTTATATTTATTCTAGGTAAATAATATGTTGGATGATGGATGGAATTGCGCATTCACGATCATATCCAACGGATGTTGGCGGAATTGTGGAGTGAAGCAATGCAATTCAAGTTAAAGATTCAAGTTCAAGCTTCATCCGCAAGTATACTAAGTCAAGCTTATTGAAAATCAAGATTGCTTGGGTAACATTTAGATTAGGTGTTATATTATGTGTGTTGGTACTTTAAGCTCAATATAATATGCACACACATTTTATTGGTTTCTTTATATATATATATATAGTTATATATATATACATAAGTTAAGTTTTGGCTTCTATGTATATTTAGTTATATATATACATACATGGTTTTGAGTTTTCAAGTTTTAATATGAAACAATTGAATATTTGTCTAATCGTGCTTTGAAGTTGGATTAATACTTGCGGAGTGATCATTCATCCTTTTCTCGTTGACAGAACTTGTTCCTCAAGATTTTGTCGCTTTGGATCCGAAGCCATCAGGTGTTTCAGGTGAACAACCGTCTCCTATAGTAACTCAACCGACGATCGTTATTCCTGAACAGATCCCTGTTGTTATAGAATCTGCTCTGACCTCAACAAGCCAAGGTAACTCGGTCGTGAATTCTTCCAGCGAGCGTACATATTCTTGTACTTAACTTATTTGTTCTCTTTGCAGCTATTTCTTCTTCATTGTCCGAGCGGATTCAAGTTTTATTGGCAGATGAAGATCCGGACAAAGCTGCCCTCTGTGTTGACGTCCAAAGCTTCGTTCATTTCTTAAACGCCATGGTCGATCGGATTCTTCTTAAAGGTTCACCATTTGAACTTTTCAGGAAGTCTCTCGATCGCCATGTATCAGGAATTAAAGAACAGGGGTGCACCGAATTATCTAACTCCATAGAAGCTTATTTGGTCGATCTTAAACAACACATTGAACAGTTACAGAACTTTCGAGTTGATGGCGCACCTTCTTACATCGCTTCCGAAATGGACCTGAGGCTACAAGCATGGCGTGATTCTCAGAAATCCGCTGAATCCGAACTTCAAACACTGAAGACTCGCATTGATCAACTCCGGGTGAGTGCTGCCAAGAAAGCTCAAATCAAGGTAGACCTGTATCGTGATTTGGAATCACGTCGGACAGAGGTAGCCCAGTTAGAGAAACGACTTGCCGAAGCTAAGGATGCTTGCGAATTTTTGGAGTCTGATCTAGCAGAAGTAACTCAAGCTGAGGTGGATATACTCCGGCAACTTAATTTCCAGAACAAGACTTTTGATGACAAAGAACAAGAGGTTGCCAGAATTCAAAGTATCGATGAAAGAAAATTTAAAGCCAAACTGATACCTGAGCTCGAATTGGCTTACGCGACAAAGCTTTCTAAATTAGAAGATGAATTCCGTCATTACAAATTATTGTAATTTTGAAAACATGCATCTTTTCTTTTGTGCTGCTTTGCTTGAACTCTTTTGGTTAATACAATGAACTTTTCTTTTTTATTGAGATTTTATTATGATTACTCATTCTTGTTTAGAATAAATAGTCATAATACTTATAGGATTTTTGGCAAATCCTCAGCCATCAACGGATTTGATATGCCTTTACCAACTACCGTTTGAGTCGGGCTAGTATGTGAATTATCTAAGTCCGTTTCACATATAACGTTGCGCTAAAAGAATTAAACTCTTTTAGGCTTTGAACTATCATATTGAATATGTAGGCTACATGTGTTAGATGTAGGCTTATCTCTAATAAGGGATAGAGATAACATCCCCCATGTGATATGGATTTTAAAGTGTGAATAGGTTGCGCTTCCTATATAGGACAACGAACCCGAAATCAGAGAGGAAGAATTTTATATTCTATCTCCCGGTCTCTTGTTTGTTGGTAGAGATAAACCCAGAATTGGAGAGGAAGAATTTTATATTCTATCTCCTGGTCTCTTGTTTGTTGGTAGAGATAAACCCAGAATTGGAGAGGAAGAATTTTATATTCTATCTCCTGGTCTCTTGTTTGTTGGTAGAGATAAACCCGGAATTGGAGAGGAAGAATTTTATATTCTATCTCCTGGTCTCTTGTTTGTTGGTAGAGATAAACCCAGAATTGGAGAGGAAGAATTTTATATTCTATCTCCTGGAGCAAAAGAAACTCGAAGTGGGATCTTCACTTAGAGAATCTGGATTGACCTGAATAATCCTAACTGTCGTAAGGTTTGATTACTCAATTCGAAAGTGGATCTTTCGTTCGCAAAATGAATCGAAAGGAGATTTTGGTTGTGGTCCTAACTGTAGTAAGGTTTGACCAAGTGGGAGTTTTGAGGATCTCTCGTTCATGGAAGGAATCGAGAGGGGATTTTGGTTTTGGTCTTAACTATTTAAAGGTTTGACCAGGTGAGAAATTGGAATAGGGTACAAATAACAATGAGTTCGTTGATTTGCACGAACTACTCGATGGGAAATTTTGATTTCAAACATTTAACATGAAATAATTTGTCAACTGACACCGACTGACGATGATTGCTCAATCCGACCGGTGGAGGTTTCATAGCGTGAAATTATAAATTATTGAATCTCATCTTCCATGATCACATTACAGGGTTTTGTGAGGAAAGATTAACTTGTCATTAAATCTCATCTCAACAAAAGTAGTAAAAGGTTCCTAATTATTTTCATAACAATTAAGAACGTATCATTCGCATAATCAGTTCTCATTTAAAATAATCAACTGATATCGGGTTATCCTGAAATATCCCATATAGGATTTTCTAGAAACTTCCCGTTTTACGTAAGTTATCCTGAAAGCATTACGGATAATACTTTTTCAGGAACTTTCCATTGATTGGCATCATCAATTTGTTGCCATCCTGAGTAACCAGGCGATAGGCACCGTTCGAGTAGACTGTTTCTACTACAAACGGTCCTTCCCATTTAGGTTCAAATTTGCCTTTCTTCTTAGAAGTGAGAATCATAGGTCTTCGAACAGCGAGAACTAAATCTCCTTCTTTAAAGCTTCGTCGTCGGACTTTTTTATCGAAAGCCCGAGAAATTCTAGCTTGATAAAACTCGATCTGTTGTTGAGCTTCCAAGCGTTTCTCATCTAATATCTCTAATTCCTCGAGACGTTTCTGATGATGTTCTTCCGTCGTCATTCCCGTTACGAGAGCGATACGGAGAGAAGGAATCTGCACTTCCAATGGAAGAACGGCTTCACACCCATACGTTAAAGCATACGGGGTGGCTCCTGTAGGCGTGCGGACGGTCGTACGATAAGCCCAGAGAGCTTCGCCGAGTTTGTCGTCCCAATCTCGTTTATTGGTTTTCACCAATTTCGCCAGAATTTTGATGATAGTCTTGTTAAAAGCTTCGGCCAGTCCGTTAGCTGTAGGATTATAAGCGGTTGACGAAACGTCCTTAATCCCGAATTTACCGCAGAACTTGATGAATGCGTTGCTCACGAACTGAGGACCGTTGTCGTGTACTATTCGCCTTGGCACACCGTATCGATATATGATATGGTGTTTGATAAATTTGATGACATTAGTCGTCTTTACTTCTCTAAGTGGAACTGCTTCTGCCCATTTCGAGAAATAATCGGTGATTGCTAAAATAAAACGGTCCCCTTTAACCGAAGGCGGAAAAATAGGACCTACAATGTCCATTCCCCATGTCTCAAACGGCCATGATGTCGCCGAAGGATGTAGATACTCAGGGGGTATGTGCATATAATTCGCATGTAATTGACACGCTTCACATTTTCGTGCGTAGTCGACTGCGTCTTTTACCATAGTTGGCCAGTAATACCCGATTCTCCTAAGTCGATCACAGAGCTTAGGACCGGGCTGATGTGCACCGCATATTCCATCATGCGCTTCTTTGAGTGCTTGTTCCGCTTCTTTTCCGGATAGACAACGGAGTAAAAGACCATCATACGATCGTCGATACAACATTTGCGCTGCGACATTGTAATAAAATCTCGGTGCTCTTCGTCGAATCGATTCCCTTTCTCATACATCTTCAGGTAATATACCATGTAAGACATAGTCGATAATAGGAAAACGCCAATCTCGAACTTCAGGTTCAACTCCTATTGAGTAAACCTCTTTGGCATTCGAATCGTAGATTGGGACAATAAGCTGGTGAGTCCTCACTGTAATCAATTGCTCTGTTTTGGGAGGTTGAGCCAAGGATACTGACAATGCTGCCAATGCGTCTGCATATGCATTTTGGAGACGCGGAACGTACTCGATAAAAAATTCTTCAAACGAGCTTGCCATCTCGATGGCCACCTGGTGGTATGGAATCAGGTCTCGATTTCTGACTTCATACTCCCCTCGTATTTGATTAACTACCAGTTGAGAATCTCCAAAAGCCTCGAGGTATTCGACCCCCAGTTCTTTGGCGAAATTAAGTCCGATTATTAATGCATTGTATTCAGCCACGTTATTAGAGCATGGCTCAGTTAGTGAATATGCTCTAGGCAAGATGTGCTTTTCCGGGGAAACTAAAACGACCCCCACACCTGAGGAAATTTTAGAACATCCGGGTGCACTTGCCACGTTGGTTGATCGAGAAGCCCCATCGAAGTACAATTGCCACACTTGTTGATGCGAGGTGGTATTAACTTCGTGAGTTTCATCTGGCAGATCGTCGTACAATTCGACTACATCCTTCGTAGGGTTTTCCGCCAAAAAATCGCAAATAGCTCGTCCTTTAACAGATTTCTGTTGCTTGAAGTACAAGTCATATTGCGATAGGAGTAAGGCCCATCTAGCCAACCGCCAATTCATGGAAGCCGGTTGGGTCATGAATACTCGTACGGGATTTATGTTGGAAATGACATAAATCGTCTGTCCGACTAAATAATGTCGCATTTTCTGAATCGCGAATACCAAAGCGAGGCATTCCTTCTCAATTATCGGATAACGAGACTCAGCTCCTACCAATGTACGACTCAGATAATACACAGCTTGTTCGTGACCGTTATCGTCGTCTTGTGCAAGTAATGCACTTAACGAATGGCTCGTCGCTTTGACATAAATCAAAAACGGTCTGCCCGATTTCGGTGCAACGAGAATAGGAGGATTCGCTAGATATTTCTTAATATCTTCGAATGCCCTTTGGCATGCTTCATCCCAAACGAATGACACGCCTTTCTTCGCAAGTTTAGAGAATGGTTGACATTTTCCGGAAAGATTTGATATAAACCGACGGATATATGCCAATCGGCCTTGCAACCCCCTGAGTTCTTTAAGATTCTTCGGTGGTTGTAGCTCATGTATCGCTTTCACCTTATCAGGATCAATATGAATACCCTTTGTAGTGACGACGAACCCAAGAAATTTACCGCTCGACATTCCAAGGAAGGATTTAGTCGGATTCATTTTCAGCTGATGAGTTCTCATAAGCTCGAACATCGTCTTCAGATCGTTAATGTGGTCATTTTTATCGCGACTCTTAACGACCAGGTCATCAACGTAGCATTCGACAGTTTTCCGGAGGTGCTCTTGAAAGATTTTCGTCATCGCTCGTTGGTACGTAGCGCCGGCATTCTTCAAGCCGAATGGCATAACAGTGTAGCAGAAAACACCCAGGGGTGTTCTGAATGCTGTATGTTTTTCATCATCTGGATGCATCTTTATCTGATTATACCCAGAAAATCCGTCCATGAACGACATTCTCTCAAACCCGCATGTGTTGTCGATAATGACATCCGTAATTGGTAGGGGAAAATCGTCTTTAGGACAGGCGGTATTCAGATCTCTGAAGTCAATACAGATTCTGATCTTTCCATTCTTTTTAAGAACTGGGACTATATTGGCCAACCATTCGGGATGTTGTTCTTCTCTGACAAAACCTGAATCAATTAGCTTCTTGACCTCAACTTCTATTGCCTCCATAATTTGCGGCCGAAACCGTCTTTGTTGTTGTTTGACAGGTTTAGCATCCGATTTTATATTAAGGGTGTGCATTGCTACGTTTGGGTCGAGTCCAGGCATATCTTCGTAATTCCAAGCGAACACGTCGATATACTCTCGGATGAGGGCGATTAGTTCATCTTTCTCGTCTGGTGGAAGATCCCCACTGATAAATATAGGTTTTGGATTATTTTCGTCACCCATATTAACTTGCTCTACCTTATCTTCAGTAGGAGGTTCTCTTTGCTCGAATCGATCCCCGTATTGGACATTCATGTAATGTGTCCAAGGATCTTCCCAAGTGGGCAACTGATCGTCTTCTTCTGTTGTAGAAGGATCGACTGTTGCCATGTTTGACATGAGACTTTTGAATTTTTCTCCAATGCTTACATCAGAATCCCAATTTGAAGTGTCAGATGAATGCCCACTCCTGTCTATTAATTGGTTAATTATCCGTTGGCCATAATCGTCATCGGATGATGAGGCATAACCCAGACCCCTATTACGACTGTAATAATTATCTGGTTTTCCTTTTGGTACATAGGCAGGACGGGGTGGAACCCTAACACCTTGACCAAAATAGAGGCCTTCACCAAGTGAAAGGTCATAGCCTTGACTCGCCATATAGTC